GATTAAGGAACCGTGCAGACGTCGAAGGTCTGCTCCACTCTTTTGAAAGATGCGACGAGAGTCGCAGCATGAGCGCGACGAACGGGTCAATGACCTGTGGGAGACCCTGGATGTTCGCCGCAGCGGACATGTGGACTTGAAAGACTTCAAGAGGGGTCTGAAGAAGATGGACCATCGTGAGTGGTACCTTTATAGCACTGACTGATATATAGAACAACCCGCAGCATATGTGCGAGTGCTAACGGTTATACCAGCCCTAAAAAATGCAGACTCTCTTTTAAAGGACATCCTAGCAGCCGTTGACACGAGTGGAGACGGCCAGATGCAGTTCAATGGTGAGCACCGCGACTGCTTGCACGGATCTTGGCATATCGGTTCTCGAATGCGCCTGGAATAAGAACCTATCTAATGAACTCTTAGAATTTCGAATATTTGTCGAACACGCGGAGAGAGAGCTCTGGCAGCTTTTCGAGTCCATCGATCGCGACCACGACGGCCATGTGGACAAGGAAGAATTAAAATCTGCGTTTGCGCGGGCTGGCCTGACGGTCCGAAAATCCAAGTTGGACCAGTTCTTCTCGGAGATGGACACAAATAATGATGGGGTGATTAGCTTCGAGGAATGGAGGTATGTGAGAGCTGAGCATTCCTAACAAAAGATGATGCTAACCCACAGCCGCTCATTCTGAACAGAGACTTTCTTCTCTTCCTTCCGGCAAATCCAACGCATTCGTCCAATATGCGCGCCATTCTATCCTACTACTCCGCGACTGGAAATTTAAATCCCGAGGGCGATGTGCACATAAATGAACCATTTCAGGGATTAGGTACAGACCACCAATTTCCTACAAGTTCTCTTCCCAAGCCCACCAATCTTGCATTGTCTGATTCTCACACGCCCTCGTCTTTTGCTTCTCAAGCCACTGTACCAGACGTACCAGTGACCCCGTTAGGTCGCGAGTCTCCCCGAGACAATATGTATCGATATCACCCCGATGGCACCGTCATTCTCCCCGATGGTTTTGACCCGGAATGGCTTTCTGTACCCTGGACTGTATCACTGTGGCTGTACTTCCGGTATATTGAACACATATTGACGGAAAGCACGCCCCACTTAGGTTACTTTCTTGCGGGCGGAGCAGCGGGCGTTGTATCAAGAACTGCTACGGCGCCATTGGATCGGCTGAAGGTCTATTTGATTGCACAGACAAAGTCCCATTCTATAGCCGCCAATGTCGCAAAATCTGGCAGTGCCGTTGAAGCTGCGGAATGGATGGCATGGCCGCTTGTCCAGGCGCTGAAAGAGCTGTGGCGTGCCGGAGGGATAAGGAGTTTGTTTGCCGGTTTGTGCACCTCTGAAATTCTGTGATTAAAAAAGTTGTAACCGTTGTCAAGGGAACGGTTTAAACGTTGCCAAAGTTATGCCCGAGTCTGCTATCAAATTCGGAGCATATGAGGTGAGTATCACGCTACTGCATTGGATTCATCAGGCTTACTTGGCGTACTAGGCTTCGAGGCGTATGTTTGCGGGATTCGAAGGCCATCATGATCCAAAGCAATTGCTCCCAGTTTCGCAGTTCTTGGCCGGTGGAATAGGTGGCATGGTTTCCCAGTGAGCACATATGTCGAATTTGGATCAGTTCGTCAGTCTAACTTTTTCAGGTGTTTTGTTTATCCTTTAGATACCTTGAAGTTGTAGGTGCCCTTTATCATCCCTCGTTTTTCACTTCATGCTAATATCAAATAGTCGTATGCAATGCGAAACAGTTGAAGGCGGCCTTCGTGGTAATCGTCTCATCATTGCAACCGCTCAGAAAATGTGGTCTGCCAATGGCCTTTTTGCCTACTACCGTGGGCTTCAACTTGGCCTCATTGGAATGTTCCCTTTTGCCGCCATTGATCTCATGACCTTCGAATACCTAAAATCAACTCTAATCAGTCGTAAAGCCCGCCTTCTGCATTGCCACGAAGAGGACGCTCCACTAAGCAACTTCACAACCGGCGCCATCGGAGCATTTAGCGGTGCTCTTAGTGCGTCAATGGTGTACCCGCTCAACGTCCTTCGAACGCGTTTACAGGCACAAGGAACAGTTTTACATAAACCCACATACACCGGCGTTATGGACGTAGCGCGAAAAACGTTTGAAAGCGAAGGATTTCGTGGTCTCTACAGGGGATTAACGCCGAATCTGCTGAAAGTCGTGCCGTCCGTCTCAATCAGTTATGTAGTATACGAGAATTCCAAGCGACTCCTTGGTTTGGGTTGATCGCGCGCGAAAGTAAGAGGGGGCATACCGGATCTGTATGATTGGACTGTCCGATACATATTTGCTTGGTGGAGAGAGAAAGTTGGAATTTACATTGCATCTGTCCATTGTGTGCGATACACCCTTGACATTGTGGTTATGATACCCTCCAGCCGAACAAACGGAACTTGTTATTTCGAGATTATGAATTCTCGGTACATTTTTGATATTTTATCGTTGATGTTTTGCATACTAGCGTGCATATTCGTTTCTCGCTGCATTTCCGTCTAAGGGTTGTGCCGAGTAGCTGTTGAACAATGTTGTTTGATGCGATCAGCATTTACTATTTCGTTCCCTAGACCCTATTATCATTGGCCCACGCCCAGTGTCTGATTTTGAATTGGGATTGTCAAGTGTAATGGCCAGGACTGATCTTCCTATAAACTCGAACGCCTAGATAATCGTTACCTTTCATCATAACCCTAGCAGATCATACAAATCATATAAATCGCACACAACCGCCCAACGACCCATGGAACTTCCTCTCCTCCTCAGATCTTCTCTGTAACCGCCCTAACCTCCTCATCCTTGGCCAAGATATCCGGCACCGGCCCCACCGGCGTGATCGCAAACTGGTTGATCTGCTTATGGCTCTTAGTATAATGCTTCTTGATATGCTCGAACTCGGTCGTTTCCCCAAATGCCGGGATGTCCCAGTACAAATGCCTCAACCAGCGATGGATTGCGGGATACCCGGAGCGGATGTCGCGCACGTTGCATTTGAAATGCTGTACGTAAACCGGGTCGAAGCGGACGATGGTGGTGTATAGGCGGATGTCGGCTTCTGTGAGGGTGTTGTCGAAGAAATAGATGCTGGAGGGGTCGGAGGGGTTGTATTTGGAGGCGAGGTGGGATTCAATGCGGTCGAGGGAGGAGAAGAGGGGTTTGATGGCGGCTTCATAGGCTTCTTGGGATCTAAAGGGTGAAAATGTTAGAGTGCGAAATTCGAGGGCCCAATGACTAGCATTAAAGGGTTAAGCATGGGGGCGTACGTTGCGAATCCGCATTTGTAGACGCCGTTGTTAACAGTGTCATAAACCCATTCATTCGCTTCATCGATATCCTTCCGCAGTTTTTGAGGGAAGAGATCGAGGTTTCGATATTTCTCCGGCAGAAGGTCATCAAACTCATAGTAGAACATGCGAATGATTTCAGAGCTCTAGCATGGCGTCAGCAAATTCCCATCGTCTCATACCGAAAAAGGGACAAAAGTACCAACCTCATTGCTCACGATCCGCTTCGTCTTGGTATCATACAGCGTCGGCACAGTAAATCTCCCCTCGTAATCCTTTTCGGATTCAAAATAAATCTGCCGGAGATGCGTGAAATCGTGCAGCGGATCCGGATGTGTTTCGCCGGGAAGCTTCTCGTCGGGAGTAGCAAAACGCCATCCTTGACTCACGTTTTATGTTAGCCAACTGCAATCAGCAAGCCCGTATGTACCACTTTCCCGCACCTTGTTCGCCCATATGCCAATGCACAGACGTGATCTTGATAAAGTCCTCCAACCCCTTCAATTTCCTCGTAATCAAAGTCCGATGCGCTAGTAAAACATACATCATCAGCAGGCCGCCATCAAGCCTTTCAACAGAGAAACTCGTAGTGCAGATTGTACATACCCCAGGGACACGCATACGACACATAGAGATGGTATCGATCCTTCTCCGGCGGGAACTCCGCACCCGCTTCTCTCGAGATCCAGCTCCGAAAGGCTGACGGTTTGCGTTTGAACTCGCCCGACTTGTCATTGGGATCAACCCAGTCAGTGATTTTGCCCTTGAATCGTCAGCTTCTCACTTCTGCAGTGTCACAGCGGATTACGCGGGGAGATCAACCTTACGCACAGACATGGCTGCGATTGCGGGAGTCTTGGCTGACGTAAGGTGGTTCAACCGGCGTCCTTGTGTTTTGAGCGGATTCGATAGTTGGGGACGAAGAAGAGATGAAAACATTGATGGGATGTGGCGGAATATATGGGGGATGAGGGTGTAAAGGTGTTGGCCAACTACTTATACCCAGCAGGATTTGCTCGGACTCCGGGGACAGAGAAAAGCCTGTTCTCACTGCAGCTCGTCCGATTTGAAGAAGATTACAAAGCAATGGACAATCAACAAGGAGGCCAAATATGACAATTTATGATCATTGCTAAGCATTACCGATGCTCTAGTTATATCTGTATGGCTATAAACAGGATGATGCCTTACCATGCTCCCTTGCCAGTGCCCGATTTTTCCAAATGCTGAATGATACAGTCCTGTTTTGTGGTAACTGTGCCATCTACTTGTCTAACTTCACCATCACATATGGAACCTCAACGTCTTCGCCAGTCTGATCTTCTGCAGTGATCTCGAAGATGACATTTTTCTGGTGGCTGGGAATTCGTTTCTTGCTGATGTGTTCAACCAATTTACTCATCCTAAACCTGTTAGCGTTCATTCAATGTTGCGTTTTCGTTCAATACATACTTCATAGGCAGTCGGTCCTTCACTTTGCTAGGACCGTAGAAGCTGGCGTAAAGGAGGCTAACGCCAGAGCTGACCATACTAACTTCAAGCCCTTTCTCCTCAAATACTTTTATGAAATCCTGGAGAGGTATATCATCCACTTCGAAACGATCCCAAAGTTTATCAATTGTCACCTCTCCGTTCTTTCCTTGGTATTTACCCTTTGGACTTGCGATCGGCTCACTAAAGCCAAAGAAAGGTAACGCTAGGTTGACAAAGCCGTTCTTGTATTGCTCAATGTCGTCGTTGCCATCAATGACCTTGTAAAGTTCGAGCACAACAAGACCAGTTACGAGAGCTGTTGTAGTGGCGATGGCTGGAATAATTTTTCCCGCAATAAATTTAGTCTTGTGCCTGTCTGCTTGTTGGATGTCGTAGTTCTCCGCTCGGAGGTTGCTTGCTGCAGCGATGAAATCAATATGATAATTTGTGTCATCGTCTTTTTCAAATTCAACGGGCACCAATTTAAAACCCGAGAGAGATTTGGGGTTTGGAAGTGATCCCACGATGCGCTTGAGCTCTTCTCGGTCGTCATTGAGACCACCCGCTGGCTGTGCGTTCGGGTCAGGTTCATTTTCATCAGCCTGAATTTTGACACCTTCGGATGGCGCAAATTCGGGGATGATCATATTTTCCACAATATTTCGGTAATAAGCTTTGTCAACCCCTGGGTTCTTAATCCCGTAATTAAACGCATGGAGATTTGCGGCGGCAATGATGAATCCAAGGTGGGTTGGATTCGAGCCATCAAATTTCAACGGTGTTGGAGCACGTTTGGGACCAGACCAGAACGGGGTGCCAGAAGCCGTCTTAGAGTCCTTGGGGAAGTTGTACAGGAGCTGTTGAATGGCATTGTTGTACTGCTCTTCGAACTTGTGTCTAGCCCAGGTTATGCAGTCATCGAAGCTTATCGGCTTCTCTGTGACAAGGTAGTCTCGAATGCTCTCCAATGTCAGCTTTTCAGTGCCACTCTGCTTTAGAATGGTTTCAACGTAATTGGACTTCGTGAGATAGAGGTTGACAGCTTCTGGAGGACCAACGAAATACGACTGGAATAGATCTCTAGCCCAAGCAATAGTGTGTTCAATGCGGTTGGGAAAGCTTCTTAACGTGCACATCGGGAAAGACTGTTCCGGGGGATCATGAGAGCTGGAATAGGATTCGGTGATGTTTGGAAGGACGACTTGGGTATTCCCTTTTGTACCAAGTGTTCCACTTTCCAAGAGAGGTTTTCGGAAAAACACACATCGACGATCGACATAAGTCCTAGCATCAACATTATCCAAAGCGTTTGTCACTCCGTCAAGACGGTTCCAAAACTTTTCATTGAAGACATGCTCCGAATCCGAACCAACGCGCTCCCGAAGCGTAATGATTTTTCCCTTGAGCTCGGGATTCATAGCTTGAACGGCTGCGGCGGCACAATCGCTCTTCAATTTGCCGACGTCGCCAGTGCGGAACAAGAACTGGCGATTAAGGTTACTTCGTTCGATTTGGTCCATGTCCGTCACAGTGATTTCACCTTCAGGGCCAGTGGCCAAACCAATCATTGCCCAATTCTTCAGCATTTCACACCCAATGGCGCCTGCACCAACTAAGAACTCCTTGATATTTGCAATTTTGTCTTGAAACAATCTTCCAAAAACAGCGATTTGACCATCGTATCGAGTGTTTAAAGGTTTGCAAAGCTCTTCGGATCTCTCAACGGATTTGGGAAGGGATTCTAGGGAATCGAAGTACATCCACTGCACAATGGGGTTGAACTTGCCGGAGACCGCTTTTAAGACTTCTTGAGCAGCCAAGCCTCCAAAAAAGGCAGCCATGGGACTCAAATCGCCCCGAGCTTGGTAACTCAACTCTTTTATCAGCTTCTCATCAAGTTCAACTTTCCCTTCACCCTCACCGGCGAGCTTCTGGGCAATTTCGAGCAATTGGCGCGCATCGTCTTCATTATGGGGCCGGGGGAACTCTCCGTTATGAGCTTCGGCAAACTTGTGAAGAGCTTGGATACCAATATGAAGCTGTGGCGGTCGGTCAAATTTAGCGAAATCCGAAAAAACAAACTCGGGGTTCTTAATCTGTTCGCTAAATGGCTTGAAATCGATGAACTTTGGCATTTTGACTTGGGTAAAGAGACCACCGGACTGATAAGTTCCCAAACCACTGACGTCACCAATTGAGAAGGTATAGGGGCCTTTGACCGTCACTTTTCGAGGGTCTGCATTGTTAAGGCCCTCCATGCCTTTGATTTCGGTGAAAGTAACATAGTCCCCATCTTCTAAGCCATGCCTTGTTTCATCAAGAGCTGATACAAGACCTTCTTCGTCGATGCCAGCAACAATACCGCTCACGGGTTCCTCACCGGTCGTATCTCCAACGGTAAAGTTCTTACCAAAATCGGTGAAAATATAGCCAAATAGACCGAAAGTATCCGTGATAAGAACATAGATTCCGTTCTGATGACAGTATTCAGCAATTATTTCCTGGTCCTTTAGGGAAGTAGTTGTCAAGACAACGATTTGATATTTTTTGAGCTGGGACAGATCTGCAGTTAACCTGTCCGCTTCGTGAACCACAACAGGAGTATACGCGTTGAGTTCTGCCACACGAGGCGCAGTCACATCTGCGCGGCGTTTGCCTACATCGTCCGGATGTAAGAAGAACTGTGAGGAGAGGTCGGCGATCGTCACGGGTGTAGGATCGTAGAGGGAGAGTGATTTCACTCCAGCGAGTGCGATGTTCTTGGCTATCATAACACGAGGGGGTTAACTGAGAGCGGCGATTATGAACTCGGTGGAGACATACCTATCTCGGTACCTAAACCCTTAAGGCCTACAATCAAAACATTGGATGAGCCCATGCGCTTCATGGCCTCATGACCAAGAACGTAGCTTAACACCGCGGTCAGAATAGGTCATTTGCTTGTAAGAAGGATATACTCACAGTTGTCTGCTATAAAGCGACTCATCAATCTCGCCATGCTTTATCTTTTCCATAGTTGACTCTGTATCGATATCCATGTTGGTGGTCTAGCCAAACGAGTTAGAGATTAGGGGAACGAAGATGAAGTGTTGAAGCCTCGAAAATTGTCGAGAGAGATGGAGAACGAAGGCAGGGGTTTATAAGAGGCACATGTAGCAATATGGATCAAGTCACTTCGGCATCCCTCGAGCGATGATGTGACTGACTAATGCCTAAAGTGAAGGGGAGCAGGCAGCTGCGGCTTACAGTCATGATCCTCTTTTCCGGTCGATGTGCTTCGTTAGTGGGAGCCTTTCGTTTTCCAAGCTTCCCAGGTTCCGGGTTATCAGCGTGCGGGGAAATTGTGAAGGCCCAGCAATCGAAAGCCTTGCTGGATGCAAGACTTTCCGCAGTCTTACATATGCCAGTGGCCGAAGTGGGATGGTGGGGGAGGGTGGCAGGGTTCGAGGATGGCGGTTTGAAATGCACGCACGGAGTCAAGCAGACGCAAGGCAGACGGAATAGGGTGCTAAGATGGTAGACTGCACCAACAACGGCGAGAGAGACAGCACAGGTGGTGTTGGGAGAAGATGGAAGATGCTGAGATGCTGTGTTCCAACTTCTGACAACAGCGGTTGCGGCTTATTCCTGCCATCATCGCCTGGTTACAATCGTATTACAGTAAATACACCCGCTGACTGCTGATAATATGGTATTTTTGGTGTATTACTTCCTAGCGGCGTATTCGTGACAGCATCTTGACGACTTCTCTCCGCTCAACCGCCATCTCTCTCTCTTTCTCTCTCGCTCTCAGAGATCGGAGGACGTTGCTCTGTTCTACATTCTGGCTCAATTTACAGCTCTGAGCTCCAGGCTCAATTGCGTGTCGCGTATGTGGAACTGGCACGAAACTCGGAGGAATTGAAATCGTGATGGAGGGTCTGACACGGCCTTGAAGGCGTAACTAGCCTGTGGCAGATACGCAAGAGTCTGGTCGCAATTCTATCCTGAATGTGCCGGTTCGAGCTACTTGGCTGTGGTCTTTTGTTTTTGCGCCGTTTCCGATCGAGGTGGGGAGAGGACCCCGATAGTTGCTATTCCACTGGCGAGCCATCAGAGCATCGATTGCTACCAGCAGCACGATTGTGCACTCCAGCAGAATGCTCCACGAGATCCTTCTCTCCCTATCCGGCCAACCGTCCCCTCTCTTCGACCAGTCAACAACAGAGAGCGACGCTACCAAGGCGGGTTTCCCGCTGCTCTCTCCACCAGAGAGGGCCCTCCTTGCCTCACTAGCACACTTGAGCCAGCTTCATCAGCTGCTCCGGGCCCATACATCCCAAATCTCTTCTTCCCATACGTCAACCATTTGTCGGGCTGTCTCAACAGCCATTTCTACAGAGCACCTGGGCAGCTTTCAAAAAAGGATCCTGGAAGTAGAAAAAGCCATCTTGACTACCGATGCCAACTATGTTGGCGGATATGGAATAGTACCGCTATCCACCATCGTGGGTGATTTTGCGCCTTGGGTGCGAAGGATGGAATGGCTGTGGGATGTTGCTAAATTCATGCTCCCTGAAACTGACGGTCCCGGCGGTACTCCTTGCATAGGAGCTCAGCTTATCGATCGACTCATAAAAGATTCCCGAACAGGGTATGTAGACTTGGAAGAAATGTCCCTTGTTCTAATCAAGGCTGCAGAAACCGCGTGGATGCGTCAGCTCTCCATGTGGGTATTATATGGCCAACTTCCTACATTTGGGCGCGATGACTTTTTCATTCAGGAGGCGTCAACGAATCCAGACGGGACAGGGATAGATGTCGAGTACGTCGTCCTCCCGAATCTATTACCAAAGTTTCTATCTACGTCTACGGCTGCTTCAATTTTATTTATTGGCAAAGCTTTGAACCACATTCGCGCGAGGGGGGAGTTCTCGGCTGGCGCAGAGTCAAAAGCTTCTGCATCACATATGACTCTGCACGGGGAGTATATTCGCCGCTTAACATCTCTCCAATCACCTCTATCGTCTGTTAATCTGACTAACGCCATCTCTGATATTCGACTATCATTATCGCAAACTGTCCTCTCGCGGTTATTGCCGTTACCTAAATTGATAGAGCTTCTCTCCGTCCTCCATGGGTTTCTCCTTCTCGGGCGGGGAGAGTTTGCAATGGCCCTAGTCTCCTTTGCTGATGAGCGGATTTTTTTAAACCATAGAAGAATGGCACCCACAAATTCGGCACACGCAATGCTGCAACCTCTCGATTTCGTAGGTATGAAGGATGGCGAAGTGTCAACTGTTTTGTCCCAGGCGTGGGCTGAGCTTTATTCCCTTCAAAATGAGGAAGACCCGATCGATGATGAGTTGGATCTTGCACGAGATCTCCTTCGCTTGACTATAAGAGCGAAAGGCGAGAAGCGGCCTAGCCCTGAAAGGGAGGGTTTTACGGCCAATTCCGTGATCAACGTATCCGATGTTTCTTTCGACGATCTTCTATTCGGCTCTCCTACCGTGCTATCTCTCGATGTGCAATCACCCATGGACCTATTTCTTTCTCAGTCAGACATGGCGGTTTATTCCCGAATTCATTCTTATCTTCTCGGCATTCGGCGTGCACAAATACGCCTAAGCCGTCTCTGGAAATGCACATCAATTCGAAGAATTCATCCGGCTCCTTGGGGGCCACCTTTGAGTAACAAACCTCACGGCCAAGAACGACTCCGCATGACCCGTGAAAGGGAACGTCGACGTTGTGTTTCAATGAGATCAATCTGGGCGAGCTGCAGTGCGACTCTTTTCGTTCTTTCAGAGTTGGGAAGCTACCTTCAGGGCGAAGTTATCAGGGGCTCTTGGCGTCATTTTAAGCAGTGGCTTGATGGAACGAAACCGCCATTCACTCCGGGAAATTCGCGTCCTGCAACCGCAAAGTCAGGGAGGACTGGTGACCAGGGAGATAGTCCGAAAAGCCAACACGATCCGGAAACTATCACCATTGCCCACCGTGCATATCTTGTTTACATCACTCAGTCCATCTTTCTTACGGATGCTCCTTTCACACGCTCCCTACGAGATCTTTTGTCGCATGTCGACCGCTTCATTTCTCTAATTACCCAGCTTCAAGCTGTTCAACAAAACCTCGATCTCGAAGCCGATGAGGGGGTCTTCGACTCTTTAGCAAGTTATGGCCAGGACGAGCAGAGGGTTTGGTCTGAATTATGCCATACAAGGGCTGCACTCGACGAGGGGACCACAGAGCTTATTTCCAGGCTAAGAGATATCGACGACGGTCGGTTTTCTGAAGGCATCCGAATGTTTGATTTTAGAAGCAATGATGATGCTCAAAATCTTGCTTTTGGAGATGACATGTATTCATTTTCTGATCGTACGAATACATATGTTCCGTGGAGGGCTGCAGGCGTAGATCGATTGCTGATGAAATTGGACTTTGGAACTTCAAAATCTACTCCCGGGACCTTCGAGTTCAAAGACGAATACGTCAATTAGGAAGAATCGGCGTTAGTTTGATGGGGCCGTGTCCGCTCTGTACACTTCACTGGAGTGATTATTTCCTTGCTGCAGAACAATTTCCAAATGGAATATTGTTGATGAGCATCGAATCTATGAAACCGAAAGACATTTCCCCTTTATTAATAGAAGCTTTATACGATCGCGACGAAGCCTGGATTTACGTTCATGGCTAGGACCACATTCCAAGGCCAGCAAGGATAAAGGGGCTGAGAATACAAGTTATGTACGCAAGAGACTTGGCCAGATGCAACAAGTCTCAATCTCCTTTCACCAACTCCAACCAGGTATCTTGCAGCGCTATGGGGGGTATCAAATCCGAATGCCACAGAAGGAAACAAAAACTCCAATGCTTGAGCAGGTCAAATGATGTAGACAAACCTCCCGTTGCCAGTCTTTTCCACTCCTGCCTTTCCCAAAGCAGAAGAAGAAGAGCTGGATTCCATCAGTCCTTGGGTTTCTCCCGCTGCAACAACCTCTTCTTCTCCGCGGTGCTCCGCCGCCTCTGTGACTGGCCTCGCATTTTCCCTCTGCAGCAACACTCGCAATGCGAAAGCCAATATTGCCACAAACACCATAAACATCGAGCACAGTGCCATTCCGCGAGCGTACCACGGGCTGTCACTTGCTGGATATAATCTGGTTCCCACTAATGGCCCGCATTGGCCGATCACGTTTAGAATTGCCATTCCGGTTCCCTTTCCTTCCTTGGCGCGCTGGTTATCCATAGTCCAGGTGATTATGAGAGTGATGGCGGAGAAGAAGCCGGCTGCGGCAGGGTAGATGCATATGTACCGAATGAGAATGTGGACTGGTTCGGGGAGATAGGCATGGAAGAGGCCAGTTAGAGCGATAATAAGATAAGCAAGGGAGGAGATAACCGCATGTAGGATGATGAATGGACTACGGCTACGGTTGCGGTCGGAAATAGAGGCTGTGAGGAGAACGATTATGAATGCAAATAGGTACGGCGGAGCGGAGAGGGCCTGGGAGGTTAATGTGGAGTAGCCCATACTAGATAGAATGTTAATCCGCAGTGTAAAAAAGGTTTCAAGGGGTGTCAGAGTGCTCACTCATTCAATATGGTTGGCAAGAAAACGGGCAGGGAGCTGAATGCAACATTGCAGCTGAAAAACATGAACTATCCGTCGAATTAGGGCTCGTCAACCAAAACCTCTGCAGAGGACACTGACCGCAGTGAGATATGCTTTGGGATCGCACAACGTTCTAGCGACTTCGCGCCAATCGAATTTGCGAGCATTGAGCTCTTGTTTTCGACTCATCCCCTGACCGTCACGAAGCCGCCATTTCGCAACTTTCCTCTCGCGAGGTGTTAGATATCTAGCTTTGCTGGGCCGATCTGGAATATAAGCCCAGACGATGGAGGCCACCACCACGCTGGGGAAGCCTTCGAACAAAAAGAGCGCCCGCCATGGCGCAAGTGGGCCGTTTTTGTTCAACCAGACGATAAACCATGCTAGCGTGCCCGCAAAGGATGTTGCCAGAGGCGCGGCGCAGAGGAACATCCCCGTACGGAACGCCAGTTCTTCACGTTTATAGAAGAAGGACAGGTAAAAAGGTAGGCCGGGCCCAAATCCGGCTTCGAACACGCCGAGCAGAGCTCTGAGCACGACTAGGGCCGAGAAGGATGTAACAAGGGACTGGAATGATGCGATCAAGCCCCAGCCCAGAACGCACAGGGGAATGTAGATATGCGCCGGGACGAGCTTATACATCAAAGTCATCCATTCAAACAGGATGTATGTTATGTAGAATGCGGTGAGTACCCATTGGTACTGCGATGAGGAGAGATTCAGGTCGTTCATCATCCCGGCGATTTTGGCATTTCCGATATCTGTGAAATGTTCGAAAAGATAGGCATTGCTCAGTATGGATATACAAATAAAAGCAGAGCCGCCGCTTATATGTAAAATTCAACTTACTTGAACGATCTAAAAAGGAGAGCATGTAAAGGAAGGCCATGAGTAGAGTCAGCCGCCTGTCAAACTTCATCACCACTCTTCTCTCTTCTTCCGCCGTGTAAGCTCTGGAGTACGGGACTGCCAGCCGCTCCTCTTCGTCTGTATCATCTCTAAAGCGCCGTTCGCCATGTCGTGGGGTTGAAGATTCAAGGGAGCCAGGCGAGGAGAGTTCCCGTTCTCCTTCCTCCCGAAGGTCTGTCTGAAGTTTCCTGGGGGTTTGGCGCCGGCCGATGGCAATTCTCGCTATCCGCCCATCATCAGAACCAGAGTGACTCGAGTCCGGCGTCAACGGATCGACTGACGATGGGGTATCTGGGTCGCGTGGGTGCAGATGGCGTTCACCATCGCCAGAGGGCAGGGCTGGGCTGGGACCGGTTTGCTTCATGGTCAGCACATCATGCACCCGAAAGCGTCCTGGACCAGGCCGACGGGGAGGAGAGAGAGAGAAGGCCTATTTAGTTTTGAATTTGAGAGCATTCCAGTCCAGCTGATCCGCGGCCGGTTATGGCGGCTTTCGGCTGATCATGGGGCTCGCATCCCCCACCAGGCTTGCTCGTGAGCTGAACCTGTCACATCGATCGCATTCGCGCATCCGTCAACCACACGCCGGGCAGGTGATAATGAAACAGAATTCTGGAACGGGGATCCTGGCATTCTGTTTTGCTCAGCATCTTGCATCTCGATGTTCTAGAATAGCGAGGCTTTGCCGCATTTGAATTTGATGTTGCACAGCTTGACCGCTGACACGAAGAAGACGGCCGCACATTTTCCACGTTAAACAACTGGTTGTGCTACTCCAGGTATGTAGTCACCCTTAAAATAACTAGAATACACGAAGAGAATTTGCATATTGTTCCACTGATGATGCGCATTCCCACCACTTCTCCAAACAGGCACGGAAGACGACGTTGAACCCGGATTTCATCCCACTGGTTAGATCCAAACTCCCACAATGCATTGCTTGACCAGAATCAGTAGGGGAAAACGTGAGGATGACGACATATTGAGATATCGCCTACGCATGACGGGAATACCGTGACCTGGCTCTAGCGACAGGCGAGCTTCTCACTTCTCCCGGTCGGTAGCAGTCAGCGCGACCATAGTTGGGACGGGCGTCACGCAACTGCCGTGCACGGAAGCAGTATTCATCCGAGTTCATCTCGAATGGACGAGCTCTCCCTCCGGTTTCCACCATGGCCTTCTTATATCCAAGCTTGTACGCTGCCTCGATGCGAGGGATCATCCTATGGCCCCCGAGACCGTTTGCCTTGAAGTACGCCAGGGTGTTTTCGGCCGTATCCCGCAGAAACTTTGCAGCGAGGTATTTCGCGCCTCTCTGGCTTTCGTTGATTGAGTGGAACTCATCTTCTGCTTGTTCAAGCGTGTCGAGCATCTTGGAAATAGCGGCGCCGCGGTCTATGGCTACCTGGCGCGGTTTTCTACCCTCAGTTCGCCAATCCGGCTTTTTGGCCGTGGTCCTGATTGGTAAATCAATCATTGTTTCGTCCCTGTCCTCGTTGACATGCTCTTCCGACGGGTGTTCCGTTTTCTGGTTGGTGACTGAATTATGTCAGTCCAGTCCATTTTCTGATACCACCAGAAACGGCGGGCCTACCATGCCAAACCATAGACCTGAGTGCAATGTTCTTTTCAAAGATTGCCTCAATAGTTTCCACCTCTCTATCCTGCTTCACACCAAGAATCTCATCAAGGAAAAGCTCAATCGCGCCCAAGTTGTGCAGATTCTTGCCATTGCTTGTGAGAATCAACAATGCCTTGTCATACAAGGTGATCTTTCCATCCTCAAGTGCCTGCGGACGCGTCTTAAGCATGGAGATGTGGTTGACTAGCACATCCTGGAACAAACCAAGATACTCTGGAGATTTAGCTAGTTCAGCCACATCAGCTCTCATGGAATCAATAGCTGTGTATTTGCACACAATGGTGGCCAGCTCCTTTTGGAGGCCGGAATACTGCGGGGAGGCCATTCCGGAAGCTCGGCGTGACTTCTCTATGACAAGTTGAGTTTTGTTAGCCTGAGATGATGCTAAAGATTTCAATGTGTTTGAGCCTTCTTACCCAGTATCCTTTTCTTTGCAGAGATGTTTATCACATAAACTCACTGTGAAATGGGAACCTAGGGTGCGGGGTCTTAAGGAGAGAAGTCAGAAAAAAAGTGACATAAGAAGCACAAGAACGCGCTTCTTGTTTGTGTTCTCGCGTTGGCACAGCTTTGTCTCACTTTTCTCTAATGATATCAGCAACAGATTCTATGAACTTGCGGCTGTGCGCTTTGTACATGTTCTTCTGTTAAGAGTTCCCTTTATAGCAATTGCCCCTATTAACAGCTGAGACTCCCCATAGTGTTGTTGTCCAAGTGCTTTTATAGCATGCCTGTTGTCCTCAGAGTCTACTCACACCCAATGAGGCATCCATAGGGGAACTTCCGTGATTTTGGGGATTGAAATTTTTGATCATTTATCCTTCCCATGAGATTGTTGACTAACAGAACTAGAAGATTGCAGTATCCGAAAAACGATTTATAACATTTAAAAAGGTGGTTATCAAAATTGGAGCTGATATTGGATGTGATATGCAAATTCAGGACACAGCTAGTCAACGGACCATTCCAGAAAGACAATCACCATGTATGAACACTTTAACCATGCCTAATCTTCATTTATATAGATAGGTAACTTGTAACTCCCAGAAACAAAATTCCCCAAAATATCATTCCTCGCACTAGAGCGTACATTCCCAAAATAAAGCAAAAGCTTGGTTGATTCCTGATCATGCCGAAAAAATTGCAATAAGTTGTACAATCTGTGGTAGCCCTTGAAGGGCTCGTTGTTGAACTGATGTGATTGTAGGCTCCCTCTAATTGAGGGGGAAGGCCTAATTCTTTTCCTTGTATAATTTTTCCACCTCCTTCACAAGCCCATCCACTGTCTCTGCGCCCTCCTTTTGGCACTCCTTCCACTTGCCGCCGTCAAGAACGCACCACTGCTTCTCATTAACACGGACAGTACAGCTCCTTGTCGCGCCAACCCGCTGGCTTCGGCGGAAGCTCTCCCTCAACAAGGCGAGGCCGCTGAGTTCCCCATCGACCTTGTGGCCCTCGTCGCTCTGGCTGCTCGCACATTTGTTCAGGGCTTTGAAGTCAATCCCGTGTTCCAAGGCACAGTCCTCAACAATATTCCGGTCAGGGATATTCTTGTAGTCGCGCAACAAACAGTTGGCGAAACCGAGTGAGCGGACGGTGGGGACTTTGCACTTGTCGCCGGGTTTGGATTGTTTCGGGTCGCAGGGAAAGGGGAGGTTTGCGGCGCAGAGCATGAGCATGTTTCCGACGCATTCGCTTGGACCATGCTTGCAGGAGACGTCGGAAGTGGATTCAGAGACACTGAAACGAAACGATTAGTTTTTCCAAGCTCAGTGATGCATTCAACGGGAGAACTTACTTTCCGATGAAGGAGAGTTTGAAGTCAACCTTATCGTGGATTTTCACCATCGCCGGCATCAGAAGATCGAGCAAACAGTACTTTGCATCGGGGCATTTGCTCATGATATGCGCCTCAAGCGGCACTTTCTTTGACAAAGGGTTCGGGTCTCGGCCGGCATTGTCGTCACCAGAGACGCGGGGGGTGCTTTGATCCTTCATGACGGCCCGATGAATCGTAGGAAAATGAGCTGAATGGAAAAAGGAATAGATCGCGAGACAGAGGCACGTTGCGAGAATGGTGTTTCGCAAAAACCGCGATACAGTCCAGCGATCCTGATGTTGCATCGCGGCTGTGGGGCCGCGAAACGGCTGGTGCTTCTCCATGGTTAGAATCGGAGCGCGAGGGTGCCCCTGGTTAGCTTTTCAGGAACCGTCTCGAAGCTGCAAGGGCAACATAGGGGTTGGGAAGGGCTTCCTGTGAGATCTCGATTCTGGACGGACGCCCAATTATAAAGAGTCGCATCCTGACGGCGGCACCTGGACAATTATTAACTATTTGCCCGCTCACGAGATGACGTCCGGTCTGCTGACATAAGCACACTTGTCCATTGCACATCAACAGAAAGAAGTATGATCAAGACGACTCTCCTCTCGTTGTCGAAATTCCACTTTGACGAAATATTACGCTTGTTGCTTCTCGTCATGCTGTGATTTTACTCGGGTTAACGCCGAATGATGAAACACAAGGGCACAATGATGGATTCTCCCGAACGAGGAGCTTGCTAAATATTAAGAGAATTTCGATTCCGATGAGCTTCTCAATTCAACCTATTGACACAGGACCAAGGTTCCAATCCTTCTCTCAGCCTAGATGGTTGAGAGCTACTCGTAACGATGCAGCAGAGCCAACCCCCCAATGATTTGGACAGCACCTAGAACATTACTCAACGGAGGTGGTCTCCACAGGAATTGATACGGTGGTTCACAAAGGAAAGATGGCGAGCTCAAAATATCAAATATGTTGAAGGAAGGGGCTACTACTCCAGAAACTGAAGCCAGGAGGCACAATGCTGTGGGAGTTATGAACTTCATCGTACGTATCCATCATGATGAATCTCCAAACCAAGCTCACTCAACCATAGCCAGTCTAGGGGGTGAGAGAATCGATTCGCGAACAGAACCCGGAAGGTGTCATCAGCTTGACAAAATGGCCCCCTCCCATGCCATACCACCCTTGTGAACAGCGGCAGGAAATAAAGCGGGCGTGAGCGATGGACAAGGCAAACCCTTGACCAAGGGAAATATCGGCACTGACTTATGGTCCCTTCTCTTCGTTTTAGCCCATATAACCACAGGTAACCCGCAAGGATCAATTTGTCGGCGGGGGACACACTTGTGTTGCTCGCAGGCTTGCCGCTGCGTAGCTGAAGATTCGTCGAGCAGTGTTGGCTACGGAGTATTATCCGCCCTGTGACCAGGATACACGGAGCTCGAGCATTTCCCATTCAAAGTCCCAGCTCATAGTTTTGGGAATCCCATGTTCCAGTCGCCGTCAGCATGCCGTCTTGTTTCATATCATCGATACTAGGGAGTAATACACAAGCAAAGTATGAATCAGTCAGTAGTAGCTAAATCCAGCACTTGCAGCAGACTTGGATCCCAGCGGCTCAGGGCTCAAAAGTGATGCTAGCTAATCGACCGGTCGTCAATGGCCACAACCAGCTATTTTTGATAGCCTGCCCTTTTCTCCGCCACAGGGCTGAGTTACAATCAAAGCGTTACATTGTTAAATCGATCGCCGGCAAGGTTCAGAGCTCCATGGTAACGAGAGCAAGAGATTTGGTAACTCTGTACCTGAGTTGAATCTGGTATCCTTGGGACTGTCTAGAGCGATCCCTGCAGAGCCTCATGGAGACGAAAGCAGCATCAATCCCGTAGTTAGCAGCTGATCGTCCCTATCAGAAACAATCACCACGCGAATCCGATGCTTCTGGCCTCGTCTCATGGACGCTCACATGCGCAAGGGAGCTCGTTAGCGAGTCGCAGCGAGTTCGGCAACAGTTCTTTTGCCAGGTCGCTGCCCCACCTCTCGACCAGGCCAGCTTCACTCTCAGGCTGGCACTCCGCCAGGGTCACATCTCCCCAGTCTGCTGGCTCTCCCTGGCCTGACAACTTCGCGACGTCGTATCGGCCTGCTGACCGGGTATTGTTTTGACTTCAAGTGTTTCGAAGTGTCTGATCTTCAGTTTGGTTTTGACTCCTTTAACTAGTTGACTGCCCGTGCCCATCTGCAGATTCTCGGGTTGAACCACGCCCTGAGACCAGCGATCGTCCGGCAACCTGCTTATTATTCCTTGGAACGGCCCAGATCACTTCTTTCCGTGGGACGGATAATATTAGTATTTCACCTTGCTTGTCGTTCCGAAAAACGTCGTTTTCCCTCATTGGCACCCCTC